TCTTTCTGGTGTATGGTCCTGATCTTACTCAGGACAGATAAAAGGGCAGTATGATAAATAGACTATATTTAAGGCCTCCTTTCTATATGCACATGTGTAGTTGTATAGTTAAATTGTATAGTTCTTCTGTAGTCATGATTTTTGTTTTCTTCAGCTGCAGTCTTGCATTGGCACTTGCTTCTTTCATTTTCTTTCATGACTTGTTTCAAGTCATTCCTGCTTTCTGCCAGCAAGATGGTGTCATTTGCTTTTCTTAAATTACTGATGTTTCTTCCATCAATTTTCATTCCTCCTTCATCTGAAATTACTTCCATATTTGTTCAGATTGAACAGGTATAGGGATAAAATGCACCCTTGTCTGACACCTTTGCCTATAGGAAACTATTCTGTCTCTCCATATTCTGTTTTAATAGTAGCTTCTTATCCACAATACAGATCAGGATAAGTGGTGCTAAGGCATGCTCATTTTTTTCAGAATAACCCATTTTTCTGATGATCAATAAAGTCAAAGGCTTTGCTAAAATCTATAAAGTACAAATTGATCTTCTGAAATTCTTTGCCATGCTTCAGTAGCCAGTGGATATCTGCAATATGATCTTGAGTGCCTCTTCCTTTTTGGAATCCAGCTTGAACATCATATATTTCCTTCTCCATATATAAGATAAGAGTCTTTGTTGCAATACCTTGAGCATTACTTTGCTTCCATGGGACGTTAGAGCAACGGTTCTATAGTAACTGTACTTGGCATTTCTTTTCTTGGGGACTGCAATGCATATTGAGTATCTGAAGTCTATGGGCCCTTGTTTTGTTTTCCATATTTGTTGGTATATTCTTGTTAGGATTTTCATGGATCCACTCTCTATGGCTTCGAACAGTTCTAGCAATAGTCCATCTATATTTGGTGCTTTGTTTCTTCCCAGTACTTTCAGAGCAACTTTCACTTCACTTTCTAGAACTGCAGGTTCTTTATCATTAGATTTCTCTTCAAAGGTCTGTCATCCTTTTTACCTCTTCTGCATAGGTTTTCGGTATATTATTTCACCTTCTCTTTTATTTCTCCTGCTCAAATAGTGTGCTTCTCTGTCGGTCTTTCAGCATTCCTAATCTAGCTTAAATTTCCCTCTGATTTCTTGGATCTTCTGGAAGAGACCTCTTGTTCTTGTTCAGTAATAGTTCTATTTGGCTCTATGTTCCCTTATTGGGAGAAAGGCAGCATATAAATAAGACAAACGAATGAACAAACAAACAAACAAACATGTGACTACCATTGAAACACTGCATTTGAGGTTATAACCTTGTTTCTTTCTCCTTTTCCTCTTGCTTCTCACTATCCATTACAATTTTAAGTGTTTCCTATGTTATCCCTCTATGTTTTTCTTTTCTTTTTTATTACATAAATTGTATTTTTGCATTATTCCCTAATAATATATCTGAGTTCAATTCACATTTCTTCTGGATCACAAATATTTGAGTTGAGTACACTTCTCCTTTCAACAATGCTGGGTTAGGGCTCTAGAGCCCCACATAGTTTAAAATCCATGTATAACTCTTATGCTCCTCCAAATGTAACTACAAAGCATAAACAGTTGGTTCACGTACGCATGCACACATGCACATAAACAATTCTTTCTATTGGGGTTCTCTTCCATAGCATTGACAGTCTTTTTCCTACAGTACTATGTAATGAGCTTTAAAGGTCCTTTGACCCTGATCTAGAGGCTGAATTAGAGATGTTGTGTTTGGGGGAAGCAAGCCACTTTGACACCTTGAAGAACAGTATTTATTGAATACTTATTTACTTATTTATTTATTGAATGAATTATTGATTGTTTGATTGACTGGAATATCATTCATTCATTTACGAAAAAAATCTGTGTATAATCAAGACCATGTTGTTTAGGCCCAGCAATTCAAGGGAGAAGGGTGATACAAACCTGCTTTTTATGTTGGCTTGAAATTCATAAAAAATGTTGTTTAAATTATAATTTGTCACTAGGAGCATAATGATAGTGCTGCTCTTCAGCTTTATTCCAATGTCTGATATGACCAGTACCACAACCTGCTCCTAGTCCTGTTTTGGCAGAGATAATAACAGCTTCTCCATCTCCTGCTTCTAATCCAGCTGTCTATTTGATTTCTATATTGGCTATCCGGTGATGTCCACATGTACAGTCATCTGTTTAGTTGCTTGAAACATATATTTGCAATAAACAGATTGCTGGTTTCGTAGAACTCTATGAGTTGTTGTTCTGCTTTGTTTCTGGCCCCCAAGACAAATTTTCTAGTGAACTTTGGTTCTACTTTGTTTCCTACGTTTTCCTCCTGGATGCTTGCAATATTTTAATTTCACCTACTTCAGCATCTGTAGTTGGAGAACAGACTGAAATTATGGTTATACTGGTTTCCACAGAGCCTGATTGATATTATTTGTTCGGAGCTTGCATAATAGTGTCTACCTTGACTCAGTATTAGAGTCACTCTATTTCTTCTCAGTTTACCATTTTCAGAGTAGAACACTGTAGCGGTCAGACTGAAAATATCAAAATCCAGTCCATTTTAGTTCACTGGACCATCCCTAGCAGTCACATTAGCTGGAACTTGCTCTGTTCCATTCTGTAATTCAGTACATATCTTGTTGGGAAGGGTTTTTGAAGGCTTTCCAGAAGCTAGCACTAACTTTGGCAGAACAGCCCAATCTCTTATCTTACTCAATGCCTACTCCATCTCCCCCTCCCCCCCCAATCTGCACATGAGCCCATGAGTTCAACAAAGATTCATTTGCAGATTCCACATCTCAGGGAATGGCATTAGCTCCAAGAGAGGTTTCCATTTATTTTGAAGCTTTTGTTCATTTGTCAGAGAATGAATCAAGGGACTGCAAATGGCAATAGGATGCCCAGAAGGTTACCCTGCCAAAAGAATTCTTCACTATTTAAGACATTTAAACAGAAAATTTAAAAAGTCTTTCTAAGTTCTTAGTTTGCAGCACCTAATCAACCAGAGCTGGATAAATCCGTTATGTTGCCTTATTTGGACAGTTCCTTCCGTTCCATTTGAAAGGGCCCTTTGTGATCAGATAATGAGGATGTACCTTGGGAATGAACTGATACTTCAAGAAGTTATTCTTTGAGTTTATCTGGCTGTGAGCTACTACCTGCTATAGGAAGTAGCACAGAGTTCACATGTCAACTGATCACAATTATAGTCGTGACATGGACCTTTTTATAACTTCATTGCACACACATTCACTAGTACACTCAACCCTGTATATCTCCTAAATGACTCACAACTTTTACTCTCCAACAAAACAAGGATCTGAAGTAATAATTTTAAGTATTACGATCACAAGATTTGAGTTAAAAACTTAAAGACAACATTTTAATCAATAAGAAAAGTTGAGCACCAAACCAAAATGGGTTTCTTTAGAAGAAAACTCTGAAATGTCATAAAGATGTCTGGATAGGAATCAACAAAGGAACTGCTATTTATAGACTGCTCTGATTATAGACAGGAAGTTGAACCAACTGAGCTATTTGATCTCTTCCACTGTCACTACACATAGCCCATGGTGGGGGAGGGCCCCTTTCATTCCCTCCTTGTTCAAATCACAAGTCACCTCCAAATTCTATGATTCTATGGGTGCATCACTGGGCTGAAAAGATCTAAATGTAAATTCAGATTAAATTATCAGGTTATCATATTCTGTTACTCGCACAAATGTCCATTCCATATGTTATTTCTGTCTTTAACTGCAACCAAACCAGAGATGTACCTGGTAGCCAAAGGTCTTTGCAAGAATTGGAGTGGTGATAGTCAATAACATTAGTTTCAACAAGGCCATAATTGTGGGTTCAGTCTTGCTTTTTGAAAAGCAAACTGTGGGTATAGCCAGGAATACTTCTTAATAGTTTACAATGACAGCATATAAAACTTATTTTGTAATGAGAAGAACATGCTACACTGATTTGATATGTTACAATGTCCCGTCTTGAACCTCTCCAGTCTCTCCTACTTATTAACAATTTTGCGTTGACTTCAAACAGGGTCAAATGATTCTCTGGGCCATGCTCAGATAGAACCTAAACAACAATTTGGACTAACAATGGAGCCCACTCACTTTATTTAATATGTCATTATACAAACATCAACACAAAGTGAAGGGGTTAAAAAAAATCTTCTGAGTACCTTCACTTCCCTTTATTTCATTTTCTGCAAACTCAAAAATATGTTAACTTCTGACTGCATAAACCAATGGCAACTTAAGGAAGCACAATCAGGAAATATGTAGCTGTGTGAGGAAACCTGTGTGCTGTATTTTCTTCCCCCTTTCTGCTTAATTTTCAGTCCTTGTTGGCTAAGCAAAGTAACTGTTTCATTTATTTTAGAGGTAGCTGCAAGGCTCCTTCAAAGCACTGTCTAGAATCTAGATCCGACTCCAGATGTAGTTCACCAAGGAAGGAAAAATGGACAAATGGATGATCATGCACAGTTACATACTATGGTCAGTATGCTGTTGAATATTACACACTTGTGGAGCTTCAACTATAGAAGCTGCAGCAGTAATCTTGTGATCAGGCTCACAACAAGTGTCTTGTCAGGCGACTAATGGAGCATCTGCAGCTGCAGCTCCAGAAAGCTACATACTGAACCAGATACTGGTGTATATACATTAGGGTATAGTTAATTTAATAAAAGTCTGAAAAATGCAAAGATATAATAGCTGCAAAAGTCAACTTTGAACAGCCTCACACTGCCATTCAGGCTAAAATCCTATGCACACTTTCTTGGAAGAAAGCACTACTGGACACAACAGGACTTAGTTCCACTAAAACATGCAAAGTCCTGTGCTTTCAGGCCTACTAATTTACAACAGCAATCTTCCCAAGAAAGGCAATTAGTTCAAATAAAATCTAAGAGTAACAGCCATCACACCAAAATCTGTGCAAATCCCTGGTGCTAATATTAAGACTGAAAGGAAAATAAATGACACTGAAACTCACCACAGAGGTAAGAGCCATTTGAAAACTGTAGATCCGTGCAAGGCCAAAGTCAGCTAATTTTATTTGCCCGCTGCTGGTCACTAAAATGTTTTGTGGTTTCAGATCACGGTGGACCACTCTGTGCGAATGCAGGAAGTCAAGCCCTCGTAGCAGCTGGAACATCATGTCCTAGGGGATAGCAATCAAGAACTTCAATCAGAAGGTAAGAAACGGAAGTATCCAATGTTTGCCTAGCTTATGTATATAAATTGTCTACACTTACTAGAAACCACATAGCATTTAACACATTGTGACATGTACCTAAATAAGTATCCACAGAATTGTGCTGCACATGTACCTACATGGACACACATGCACTCATGCATGCACATGTGTGCGCACACAGAAACTCAGCCTACATAAATATGGGCAGCACAGATAAGTATAGCACAGAAAATATCTACATTAAAACTGGCATGAATTGTCTTGAATGGATGTACAGTAATTCATCCAACCTGAATTCATTGTGCACTGCTCAACAAAATCAGTAAAACTTTAGTTAATAACAGCTAACTTTTCCTACTGATTATTTTAGGATTTTAAGTATAACTATAGCTAGATTCAATCCATTATTTTCTAGACATCTAAGTGTGCTGTGCCACTATTATTGACTTAGTGCAACAAAAATGGCATATTGCCTTATTTTAAAGAATTTTAACAAATAGAAGGAAAATATTCCAGAATGGAGCCAGTGGGGAGTGACATGGTGAATCTACTAACTTACCACCAGCCATGCTGGCTTTCATTAGCTGGGGCAAAAGGAATGGGAGAGGTCATGTCAAGCTACTCAGCTCAGCATATTCAAACAATTACCATCTCTACTAGCACTGACAGCCATAGGTGTGGTAATAAGCTGTACTAACTCCAGACTTTGCATAAGTTGTGAATTGTTTCAGGGATGGGGGGAATATATGAAAGAGTGATCGGTAAAGACCTAGGTTCTTCCATAGAGTGACTAGCAAGACGTAAGATGTAAAAGAATGGGAATGAATGGTCTAAAAAAAATCCTTGGGAACTAAAACTATACGCTTAAACAAGACAACATGAAAAAATTTACAAGTTTCATGCACAATCATCCCTGCCAACATTCATTCATACCTATATAAAACAAACCATCAGGTTTGCAAATAACATATTAGAACATCTGTTATGAGAGCTGCTTTAAATATGGTAAAATTCCTGCACGGAGAGCCTTTCAGTTTACTTTACAAAGCCATCCACACAGAGCAGTTACCTTCATTCGGATCTGTATTTCTGTACAAACAGAAACTCAGAACATTAAGCTGTTGCACAAAACATGCTCTTCTTTTACAAAGCTCATCTCCACTGTTATGGGAATGGCAGTTAATCTACTGTATTGACACTTATCAGACAGTGCTTAGAACATGGATTTTTTTAAAAAATAAAGTGTTATTTAAAAGTCCACTGAAGATGCCAGCCACAGAGACTGGTGAAACGTTAGGGAGAACAACCTTCAGAACACGGCCAAAGAGCCCGAAAAACCCACAACACCCATTAGATCACGGTTGTGAAAGCCTTCGCAAATATATTAATACATAATAGTTACACAGCATGAAGAAGTGAAATATGCCTCATTAAAAATTCTTTTCAGGGTAAGCTGATTAAGTCTCATTTAACCTCATTAAAAATGAAGTTACAACCCTCCTTAAGTTATAACTTTAATGTTACACATTTATCTATAACCTATTACAAAGAAGGTATTAACTGGAAATTACTTACATATAGTTACATTTAACTAATTACTGTTGAGTGAGTTGCCAGGCATGTCTCAAACACCTGGCACAAATCTTTGCTCTAATCTGACTAAACCAAGTCACTTTTAAACTTTTTCTTTAAGAGGAACTTTAACCAACAACGAAACAGCAGAACAGACCCTAGCAAGGAAAAATAAATGCTTGCCAGAATATTACGGCTTTAAAAGCTATTTAAAATGTCAAATAGCTTTTAAAAGCTATTTAAAAGTGGCTAAAGAGGGGTCTGGGCATAGCTCTTTCAGAAGTGCATTCTGCAACAGAACGGAGAACCTCGGGTTGTTGGACTTTAAAACCCACCAGCCCCAATCAGAACAGCCACTGATGAAAGACAGTAGGAAGCACAGTGCACCAGTATATAGATATTCTCCTGCCTAATCTATAATCTCAAAGCCAGAACAGAAAAGTCTCTGTTCCTCAACCTTATCTACCAAAATTCTGTCAGAAAAAAAGAAGGTTCTCAAGGGCTCACAAAAGTTATCAAATGACCTCATATTAAAAGAAGTAATTTCTCAAAAATATGTCATAACTGGTTCCATACCAATTTGCACTGTTGTTGCTATGTGTTGTCGATTCATATCTGGCTTCCTGATAGGGGTTTTCGAGGCATGTGAGATATTTAAGGGATGACTTTACCAGTGCCACCTCAAGGGAGTTTCCATGGCTGAGCACAAACTTGAACTCAGATCTCCTGAGTCCTAATCCTATCCACCGCACCACACTTTCTATCCCTTTTGCTCGCTAATATATATTAACTGACAGCTAAACCACAATTTCTACACTCACTATTGTTATTGGGATGTCAACATTGTGATTTCACCTTCTTGGTTTCATCTGGTGATTTTTTTTTTTTAATGAACATGCTTATGATGACTATTGGCATGTCCTGCTAAGGAGCAATTCTCAAATTTGATAATACAGTACTTCCATGACACTCTCTACTCACATCATCAAACTGATGAGGTAACAAAAATAGTTGTGTAATGATCTTATCGTGTTAGAAGGAAATATGAGAATCATGCACAGCAGATGCAACCAATACAACAGCTTTTGGTAGGTGCCCACCACATTATTTGCCAGAAGATTCAACCAAACTATTCCCAAACTATTCCCAGCCAGCTGAAGAGTGATTCAGAGCATATGTATGTATTCCTCAGAATGTTCCATGTAGAAAAAGGTATAATTTTAAGCCCACGAATGAAATAATGAGAATGTATAATTTACTAAATTAGGGTCTGAACTCAGGATTAATGAAGAATTATTCTTCTATGTCCTCCCTCAATACATCCTCTGATTCAGTACTACAGTTCATAGGGTACAATCTGAGGTACACTGCCTTGAAAGTAATTAATTCCCAGTGAATTCAAGTGAGACATGTTTCTGCATAGGAATGGATAAGATTGCTCTGTTAGTTATTGATTTTACTCTGTATTGCAGAATGTAGCACATTCGTTAAGAGTCAAAATACAGCAGATGTTGTGAGCTCACTTTCCTCCTTAACAGGACAGACACATGTGGCCGCATTTGGCCGGCTAACCATCAAGCTAAGGCAAGATTGGATTAATCAAATGGATAAAGACCCCATTGAGCAGCGTATGGTGACTAAGGCCATTTAGGTTAGCAAAGGCCCCTCAGGTAGGTCACTAAAGGATGACAGTATAAAATAGTTTTCTTCTCTATTTTATAAGAGTCTTTTATATACGGTATATTTTAAATTCTAGCCATTTTGGATATATTTTAAATTCTAGCCATTTTGGAACTTGTTATATATGGTTATGAAGATGCTGTTTTGTTGACTTGTCATTGGTTTTGTGCATTGACTCAGTGTTTCAATGGCCTTTGGCTATAATTTGAATACAAACTCACAAAAAATTCACATGGCTATGAAGCCCAGATTTGGATTTCTTCTTCCTAACAGCTGTTTGTGGACAGCAGCTAATTGTATCCACTTGTTTAACCTGTCTTAAGGGGACCAAGTACCACAGCACACTTTCTTCCCCAACGGTCATTTCCTCTCTGGTGTAACTTGCATGACAGCATGTGACAAGCAGAAATTAATGGGGGCACTGCTGTGCCCATACCTCTTGAATTGCTTTGACAGTGGCTGCAGGCTGCCTGCTTGGCCACCCAGCCAAGACCTCACATGAAAAATGGCAAGGGGCCCACAGTTCTATTCACTAACAAGACAGCTGGTCAGTGATTAGGCAGCTAAAACAATGCACCAAGAAAAGAAAACGCGTTTGCAAGGAGCTTCAGATTCAATAGATCAACTTTTCTCAAATAAGAGAATTTGTCATTTTCTCCTCTACTCTGAAGAATGATATTTTGATCACTTAGTACCTGATGAGGGAAGATCACTACACCTCAAAGAAAAATTACAAGACAGCTTTAAAACAACTGAGACAGAAATTTGGTGAAATGTCTGAACTATGGACAAACCAGATGGTATTCTTCAAGAAAACATTTTTCTGTGAATTTTGTTTGACTGGACCAGGAGGTCTTGAAATTTGTACTAGTTGGAGAGCTAGAGGCAAAAAGAATCTGCTTGAGCTTCCTCAACAGTAACAAACTTAATATAAAGACTAGTGCTTATGTCCAAGTGTCCTTAATTAAAAGGGAGGCAAGCAGCCAAATCTTTCCCTTCAGCCTCTTCTGTGACAGAACAGAAAAAAATTAAACCTTGTCAATAAATACAGAGGCATGTCAGGGAAACCAGAAATGGGAAATGTACATTCACTGGACTACAAGCATATGTACACTGCATAATTATAATCATTTGATTCCATGGTAACATGATGGTGCCACCCTTGGAACCCTGGGAGCTGTAGTTCAGAATTATCTCCTGATCTAAGGCCCTTTCAGCAAGGATGCAGGAAAGGAATTTGGGTTGTCCTGCAAGTCCTTCCACTAAGTTTTGACCATTTCCCAAGAAACACACAGAATAAATCTGACATAAGCAATATGAGCATAAAATAGACCCTAGGCATATATTTTTTTAAAAAAAGTTGTTGGCAAATACATTTCCAGATTTCACTAAGTGTGAAAGTCAATATATTGTGCTAACAAACGTTTCAACAAATCCAGAAGAAAAAAGAAGTGCAAGAGAATTCAAACTTGCCAAAAGGAACTAATGGACAGAATGAAAAGTTAAGAAGAACAAATCCATTCCCAAACAACAGAGTATTTTCCAAATAAAACATTAAGGAATCATTGTAATTGATGAGATGTGAGGTATGAGCTTCTCTCACTACAAAATCACTTCATGGAGAATGGATTCAGAGGGTTAAACTAGATAACCACTCAGTTCTGCAAACAACTTTAGACAAATTAAAGTGCCTCTCCTACATCAGAGGCTAA